TACTAACTCTAAACTTCGTAAGGTTTGAGGTAGTGTTCTTTTGACTTATCAAACACTTTTACCACCAGGTGTTTGTGGCGTCTTCGCTCATTTCAAAGGTTCTCTGAACACGAGGGAGAGGGTGAGAGCGAGCTGTAGGCTGAGTGTGAGCAGAGGGAGAGAGTGAAGCTCGTGTAGAAGAGATTGGCCGCCTCTGAGTCAAGCAGGAGGTGTCAAACGCCGGTGAAACCTCGGAGTGGCAGCGGTGACTCAGCAGGGAGAAAGACGGCGGAGTTTCTCAGTTCTGTCCGTCGTCGGAACGGACGGTCCGGTAAGGCGGAACGGACGTTCCGCTTGGTCTGGAACGGACGGTCTGCTTGTCAGACCGGACGTTCTGGACCGTTTTCGCCCGTTTTTCTCGCTCGTTTCGGTCCAATCCTTCGGTCAACTTGGTTAGGTTTGATTCTATGTTCTTGAGCATTTCTCCGGCACCTAAAAGATCTTCTAGGGTTTGGTGCAGAGAAAAGAAACTCTCGGGGCATTATATTCCGTTGGAATAGTCGATCTTCTTCTCCTTGCCTCTTCTTCGTTCGGCTCGGTTGGTTCACGTTAAACCAATTCGCCCGAGCGGCTTCATGTCGTGGTCTATTCCTCGTTAATCCTTTTAATGAAAATTAAGGGCTTATCGCCTAATCATCTCATTTCCATTGATCAAGCGTCGTCAATTTCGGTTTATATCTCTCTAATCCTTTTACCGAAATTCGGGGTGTTACACATGATATAATCATGAATACAAAGAAAATGTTGAAGAAACATTTTGACATGAAAGACATGGTTCAAGCTGATGTTATTTTAGGGATAAAGATTTTAAAAGGACCAGAAGGAATTTTCTTATCACAATCTCACTATGTTGATACTGTTCTTAAGAAATTCAATCAATTTGACTGTATTCCAGCTAGAACACCTGTTGACATTAGTTGTCATCTAGGTAAAAATCGAGGAGATCCAGTTTCTCAAGTGGAATATGCAAGGATCATTGGTAGTTTAATGTATCTAACTAATTGTAATAGACATGATATTGCATATGCAGTGAACTATTTGAGTAGATTCACAAGTAATCCAAATGAGGATCACTGGAAAGCTTTGATAAGGGTACTTAGATACTTGAAGTATACCTTGAATCATGGTTTATGTTATTCTAGGTATGCAGCTGTATTAGAAGGTTACAGCGATGGTAACTAGATATCAAATACCAATGACTCCAAAGCTACTAGTGGTTATGTATTTACCATCGGTGGAGGAGCAGTCTCATGGAAATCTTCTAGGCAAATGTGTATAGCTCAGTCTACAATGGAATCCGAGTTTATAGCCTTAGATAAGGCTGGAGAAGAAGCTGAATGACTTCGTAACTTTCTAGAAGATATTCCGTGTTGGAACAAACCTGTGCCTGCTGTTATGATACATTGCGATAGTACATCAACAATTGGTAGAGCACAAAATAGTATGTACAATGGTAAATCTTGACATATACGTCGTACACATAATACCATCAGACAATTGATCTCAAATGGTGTAATAACCATAGATTATGTTAAGTCTAAGGAAAACTTAGCAGATCCGTTAACGAAAGACCTTAATCGAGATCAATTATACAAGTTATCGAAAGGAATGGGATTAAAATCCACGAATTAAAGAATGACCACAGCGGTAACCCAACCTTGTTGACTGGATATCCCAAGATCTAGGTTCAATGGGAAAACCAAGTTATGGAAGTTCAGTTGAACACTTGGAAATTTATTTCCATCTCATTCCTAAAACGATAATCCAAGTGTAAGAAAAGTTTGCGTATCGTGGTGAGGTTGAATTCCATATTGAATTCTTAATGATTCCTACACCTTAAATAAGGTAGAGTATAGCAAAATACTTTCGACATAAAGTTCGGTAGGTAAGATTACCTATATAAGTGAGGAGTTATGATGGCCGCTCCTATAAGAAAAAACACGTATGAATCCAAGATATGGTCCATGGTCGAAACGGACAACAACATGAGAACAAAAATGAAAGTTAGAAATATTATTGTGTGAATACTGTTTGTCTTGGTATATGTTATACAACTGGGGGTTCAAGGCATCACGTCCACCAACTGGTTAGTATGCCCGACAGTATTTCACTAAGGAAGGTTCTAGGCAAAAAACTACCATCCCGATGCAATAATAATTCATCGGAACTCTTTGAAATAAACAATTTTTATGCATTCATTAATTTTCATTCATGCAGGGGATTGTTAGAAAAGTTGGGCAAATGTTATTAATTTCTTAAAACCAATTTGTGGTGAATGAGAAATTAATTTATACAAAATAAATGTAAAAATATGGAAGAAGAACATTTGTCCCACATTGGAAAAATGACAAAGCACAAGGAAGGAAGCTTCTTTATATGTGTGTTTGTCCACATCTAAAGTATTGGCCAAGAGGAAGGAATGAGCTTCCTTATAAAAAGAGCTCCCCTTGAGTCAACAATGTTCAAGCTCAAGGTTGACTAAAGCTAAAAATGTTTGGTCTCACTTCTTCCTTTTCGGGAGAAAACGAGCAAAGTTCCCCGAGCGGAACGTTTAAATTTTGAATTGAAAGTTCCACTAGGGACTTTTCGATTCGGATAAGAACGTTTCGATGTGGGATTTAAAATTTAAAGTTACGCGTCGATGTGGGACGGTTAGGCTTCGAACCAATGCGTTCTTGACGAAACGTTTCCTTTTGGAACGATTTGGATAGAACCACTGGTTGAAAGGGTGGAGCCTCTTCCTTCACATGTTTTCGTAGCAAACCCTCGAATATTATAAATAGGGCGCTCATAGTATCATTTTCTGCATCCCATTTTTTCTGAGTATTCTCTTCCTTTCAGAAAGAAATAATCCAAAACTTTTTCTCTAGAGTTCCGAACTTTCGTAGTTCGTTGGATTCTCTAAAGTAGGTGGTGCTTTTGTAGAATCGTAAGTCGTTGTATCTTGGAGACGATTGCTATAAACCGTAACCACTTGATAACGGGGCAATTTCGTCTTGACGAGATTGTGTATAACACAAGCCTCGACTTAACCCACTTCAAAAATTTTCTTTTCTTTTGGAAATTTTGTTTGAATTTATGAATCCCACATCGTCGCATTCAACAGTTTGCACACTTTTCTTTCTTTTTCAAGAACCACAAATCCTTCAGGTTGTTGCATGTAAATTTCTTCTTCCAACTCGCCATTTAAAAATGTTGTTTTTACATCCATTTGATGTATTTCCAAATTGTATAGCACCGCTATAGCAATTAATACCCTTATGGACGTAATTCGAGTTACTGGAGAATAAGTATCGAAGAAATCATGTCCTTCGATTTGTTTGTACCCTTTGGCTACTAGTCTAGCCTTGTATTTGTCAATTGATCCATCTACTTTATATTTACTTTTTAAGATCCATTTACATCCTAGAGGGTTATATCGTGGTAGGAGATCAACTAACTCGCATGTATGGTTATGCATGATGGACTCAATTTCGCTATTTACAACTTTTTTCCAGAATGGAGCTTCTGGACTCGAAAACACCTCTTGCTAAGTTTTCATTTTCTACCATATATGATAGAAAATCAGGACCAAAAGACTTTTTTCACTTATGTCCTCTTACTGCTCTTGGTTCATCTTGCTGAGATGACTCAATTACAGTTTTGTATGTTCTTTTATTACAACTTCTTTCCTCCGGCCTTTTTGATGGAAAAATATCTTCAAAGAATACTGTATTTCTAGACTCAATCGTCATTCCTTCAATTAGATAAGAAATTTCAGATTTATGTACCAAAAAACAATAAGCACTACTGTTTTGTGCATATCTAATAAAGATACAGTCGACTAATTTAGGTCCAATCCTAACTTGTTTAGGCTTAGGTATTTCTACTTTAACCAAATATCCTCACACTTTGAGGTATTTATAGGATGGTTGTCGACCTTTCCATAACTCATATGGAGTGATATTCATTGTCTTATGGGGAATCTTATTGAGAATATGATTTGCTGAAAGTATTGCTTCCCCCCACAAGTTTTGAGGTAGTCCTGAACTTATAAGCATTGCATTCATCATCTCTTTAAGAGTACGATTCTTACGTTCAACAATTCCATTCGATTGTGGAGAATATGGAGCCGTAGTTTGATAGATTATTCCAAACTCGATACAGAACTCCTCGAAAGGTGATACATATTCTCCACCTCTATCACTTCAAATAATTTTGATTTTGGTATTGTGTTGGTTTTCAACCTCATTCTTATACCTTTTAAAAGAATCTAGAGCTTCGTCTTTACTTCTTAAAAGATATATTACACAGTATCTTGTATAATCATCAATGAATGTGATGAAATACTTTTTACCACCTCTTGTCTGTTCAAATTTCAAATCACTTATATCGATGTGAATTAATTTAAGAGGTTTCGTAGATCTTTCCACCAAATGAAAAGGCGTTTTTGTCATCTTTGCTTCAACGCAGAATTTACACTTTTGTGAGTATATTTTGAACTTTGGAATGAGTTCCAAGTTTACTAATTTTCTTAATGTATTGTAGTTCACATGTCCTAATCTATCATGCCATAAATTAGAACACTCAGTCAAATAGGAAGGACTCTTTTTTTTATTATCGAGGTTACGAAGTACAATCATTATATTGAGTTTGTAGAGCTCCATATCGAGATATCCTTTTCCTATAAATAGTCCATTCTTCGACCATACAACTTTGTTAGATTCTATTGGATAACAACATCTGCAGTGTTAGGGAACGGACGACCAAGAATGATGGGTACCTTAGAATCTTCGTCCATGTCAAGAACCACGAAATCAACCAGGATATAAAAGTTTCCTACTTTTAGTGGTACATCCTCAAGTATTCCACCAGGGTATTTAACAGAATGATCGGCTAATTGGAGAGCCATTCTAGTAGGTTTGAACTCGCCTACATTCAGCTTCTTGAAGATGGATAGTTGAAGAAGACTGATACTTGCTCCTAAATCACAAAGCGCACGATTGATGGAAACATTACCCAATGTACAAGGGATCGAGAAACTACCTAGATCAGACCGCTTAGGCGGTAGCTCATGTTGGATCAAAGTGTTGCATTCGACAGTGAGTGCAACGGTCTCTTTCTCAGTGACCCTCTTCTTAGTCAGGATGTCCTTCAAAAACTTCGTATACGATAGAATCTGTAAAATAGCTTCAGTGAATGGCATAGTTACCTCGAATTTCTTCAGTATTTCCGCGAATTTGGAAAATTGATTGTCTTGATTGTGCTTCCTCAGGTGTGATGAGAATGGTATCGGTGGAGGTTTAGGAGGAAGAGACACATAAGCTGGCTCAGGAGTATCTGAAGGTGTGGTAGTTGACCTTTTGCCTTGCTCAACCATCGATGGGTTTCCAGTATATACCTACTTACCACTTCTCAGAGTAATAGCATTCACATATTCACAGGGGTTAGTTTCACGTTTACGTGGAAGAACACCAGATGGCCTTTGAGAGGTTGATGCTAGCTGAGCAATCTGATTATCCATAAACTTAAAATGAGCATCAATATTAGCGAACTGAACGCGGAACTCCTGAGTTGTCTTCTCCTATGTTTGAATAAACTGTTGTAGAAGAGCATTTCTATCTTGAGCGAGATCGCGGTTACCCAGAGGTGTAGGATTATTGTAGGATTTTCCTGGAGCTATGTAGTTGGATGTCTGATTAGGACCCCTGGATTGAAAAGCAAAGTCAGGAGGAATCCTCTACTTCAGATTGTTGAATGTTTTGAAATTGGTTGGCGCAGGATTCTTGACATTGTACGACTTGTAAGAGAGGTTAGGATGATTTCTTCAACCTGAATTATATGAGCCCATGTAGTTGTTGTTGGCCACGTAGTTCAAATCCTCTGTACTCTCTTCGACTGCGTACATGCCATGATCTTCCTGTGGATGTGTCGGAGCATCCGTAGTACAAATCAGATTCGCGCTCGCGAACTTGACATTCAACGCCGCTAACTGATCAAGAACCAATCGTAAGTTGGGATCGCTTTCTTTCCTCAGTAGATCGCAAGACTATTCATTCAGAGCGTTTTCTTCTTGAGCCATCATTTCAATATGTTGTTCTAGCTCTATGAATGACTTGTTTTGAATGCTTCCACCGCAGGAGGCTCGGATAAGAGTCTTGTTATCGTTTCGGAGTCCTCGGAAGAGGATGTTGGCTAAGTAGTTCTTGTTGAGCCCATGGTGAGGAAAAGACTTCTGATATCCCTTGTATCTTTTCCAAGCATCATAAATACTCTCTCTCTGATTCTGCTTGAATGAGTGTATGCCAAAAAGAGTTGCTTGAGTGCGATGGACTGGAAAGAATTTTGACATTAACTGAACTTCAGCTGATCCCATATGTGGATGGAGTCATGTGCTAGATCATATAGCCATTCCAGTGCAGCATCCATGAGAGTCCAAGGAAAAGCAAATAGACAGAGAGCATCCTCTGTTACCCTAGCATCTCTCTTGATTGAGCGACACATCATCTTGAAGCGTGATAGATATGCATTCGGATCTTCGTTCAGCCTACCCCAGAAAGCATTATTGCTTAGCATATGAATAGTGGACGGGTTCAGCTCGAAACTGGTCATGTCGATGGCCAGTAGTCGTATGTCATCCATAAGCTCAGTGTGCTTTGGCGTGCTGTACTGGGCAAATGTTGAGTCAGCATTGCCCTCACCACCATCGGGAAGAGCAAGATCTCGGTCATTCTCCATTTGTCTTCGTTGACGTCGGATGTGTTTAACGGTCTTCTCAAGTTCAGGATCAAGAGGTACTAGGTTCGATGTCCCAGCACTCCTGGTCATGCACTAAGAACCCTTGCACACAGACAAAAAACAACAAACAAACGAAGAAAATGTGAGAAAATACTTAAGAAAAAAGAAAAACAAATAGACCTAGACTAGATAGAATCTAATCTTTTTGCCTAAATTGTCCGCGGCAACGGCGCCAAAAACTTGAAGTTGTAAATCTAAGTATATAAATTCAATCAAGTGGTAATATCTTAGACTCAACAAATACCGCAAGTGTACAGATCATGTGTAGTAGTTAGGGTCGAACACAGAGACAAAAGCAGACAAAGAAATCAAATCCAAATCCAAGTCACGATCCAAGAAAAATAATATGAGTGTTGTGAACAGAATATTAAGAACAAAACAAGTAACAAAAACGGTTGTAAACAATCAATGGCAAAGATCTTCTCAAAAGATGCAGATTCTGTGGTTTAAATATAATTCAGAAAATTCAAGCTCTAAGATAGAAATTAACTCTGTCGAGTCTAATTTCACTATCCAGGTTTTATCTTATTAATATCTCGATTCAATAATCTAAACCCTGGATACATGAACAAATGCTATCATAATCCCTAGGCAAATATTCATCTCTCGATGCAATACCTGTTCTATTTACTGAGTTATTTCCAGGTTAGAATTCCATATGTCTATGTGAATTAAAACCCTAAGTTCATTCAATCAAGTGGCCAATGTGATCAAACGCATCAAGAACAACTCAATAAACTGAATCAAATAAATAATATCACATAGTCTAGAATTAAAAACCAAAAATCCCTACATTGCAAATCCCTAACCTACAGCTGTGGAACTACTTGCTAAATATCGAAAGTCATGGTTAATATCAATTATACAAACAATCGTGAAATAGAAGGAAGGAAGAATGCTTAGTCGATTTTCCGGCTTCGTGTATCCGTCTTCCACTCTAAACTCTTGCCTCTTGATAATCTCCCCCTTTTCTTCAGCTCTTTGGTATGTTTTCTGCTAAAAATCTGAATAAATTCGACCTAGGAGGTTGTCTCCTTTTCTTCCTTTTCGTCTTGGGCGAAATCGGAATGTTTCCAATTCTGATTGTCAAACCGATCGTATCGACATTAAGTGAAATGGTCGTTTCTAGTTTCTGAGAAATTTTCCAATTTTTCGCGATGCAAAACAATCGTTTTGAGCTCCCCCGAACCGATCGTTTTGACTTTCTAATTAATTTCGGAAATTCAAGTGTTGGAAACGATCGTTTCGATTCGCATGAAATGATAATTTCAGTCCGATTCAAACGATCGTTTTGACTCTTTGATATTCTATTCTTCGATTTTCGCCCTTTTTTCCGCTCCATTTGCATTGTACCTACAAATATTGATAACAAAGCGAAACTGAAGCTAAACACGCACAGAAACGTCTCAAATGACATAGAATCGAATAAATATGGCAGACGAATCATATGAAAATCAATGGTATATTGCGTGTTATCAGCCTTCTTATCGCTTTTGACTTCAGCTCGACAATTGTCTTCCTCGATCCGAAGTCTCACGATCAAGTCTTCAAGGCCCATCTCCTTGCGTTTATGCTTCAGATAGTTCTTGAAATCTTTCCACATTGGTGGCAACTTCTCAATGATAGCGATCACTTGGAAAGATTCACTCAACTTAATTTCCTTAGAAATGATTTCATGAAGAATGAGTTGTATTTCTTGCACTTGACTGCTCACCGATCTGGCATCAACCATTTTGAAGTCGAAGAATTTTCCGACGATAACCTTTTGTGTGCCAGCATCCTCCGTTTTATACTTCTTGTCTAAGGACTCTCAGACTTCCTTAGCCCATTGGATTGCACTATATATATTATATAGTGCGACGTCCAATCCGTTTAACACATAATTTCTACAAAGAAAATCTCCATGGATCCATGCATCATAGGCGGTCTTTCGCTCTATGTTAATGTTAGTTTCTTCATCCGAGACCACAGGTGGATACTCAGAGAAAAATCGAGCCAAACTCAAGGTAGTTAGACAGAAAAACATTTTCTGCTGCCACCTTTTAAAGTCTACACAAGTGAACTTTGCCGGTTTCACCCCTTGTATAGGAACAGATCCTATCAATTCGTTCCTTGGGCAAAAACGGAGCCTGCTGGAATGGTTCCTTGTGCACGAACAATTCCTCTTGGAGCACTTGAAACACTATCCATATCTAATCGTCTTGCGACTGTTAGCGAAAATAAAAACTGAAAAGTGTTTGGCTTGAGTTCTACTCAATCTCCGCAAGACGATTATGCCCTGTTATCAAGTGGTTACGATTTTGGCACTCGTCCCCAAGATACAACGACTACGATTCTACAAAAGTACCACATACTTTTAAAGAATCCGACGAACTATAAAAGTTCAGAATTATCTTAGAAGAAGAAAATAGAGAAGGATTTTTTCTGATATAAGAGAAGATGTCAGAAAAACGAGATGCGGAAATCGTTCATTAAGGCTCCCTATTTATAGTTTTCTAAGGATTACTTGAAAAAGTTTAAAGTTAGGAAACTATCTGGTCCGAATAGGCACCAGTGGAAATTCGCACCAGTTTGGTGAAAATTTCTGGTCCGAATAGACACCAGCAGAAAATCAAACCAATTCGGTGAAACTTCTGCGAGTTTCAAATTTTGAATAAACCCACATCAGTCAGAAGCAACATTTAACTTCAACCGGTTGCTTAAGAAGTAAACTCGCAAAGGTGTTAGCACCTAAGCTGGTTTTCCCCATTAAGGGCAACTAGATGACAAATTTTAGAAGTTTTATCCAAATAAATATTTATTTATTTTTTAAAAAGAAATGCACGAGAAGAGTTTTGTTTATAACCGTGAGCTTCTTCCTTTTTTTCTTCTTCATCATTGATGTGAGACTAATTTCTCTTCCTTTTCTCACTTTCCAATGAGCCATGTGGAGACATCAATATACTATTTAATTTTCATTCAACATATATATATATATATATATGTATATTTCTACAAAACCATCTTTTTAATAAAAAAAGTAGCATTTAAATATCTAAACTTTTACAAAAATCTCAACTAAATATCTGAATTATAAAACTTTTATATAAATATATGAATTTTTCAAAAATTCTACAAAAATATCTAAAATTTTGAAAATTTCTCAAGTAAATCCAAAATCTATTAGCGGTGTTGGTTTTTTTATTTGGAAAAATACCTGAGCTTCTGATTTATTTGGAAAATTTTTAAAAATCTAGGTATCATCATATATATAAAAGTACAGTTGAATCACCATGTGACGTCCGAAACTCGTATCCCGCAAATACGAGTTGCATCATGGACGACTAAAATAAAAACATAATTTTTAAAAATTTGCGGAAATTTAAAATCATGATTGATTTATAACTTTTGCAGCGGAAATATATAATATATAAAAATTATCTACCTACAATAGGTAGTAGTCAAAATTCGAAATACAAATATGTGAAAAGTCCTACCATCATTTTCTTCTACAAAAATATACAAAATCTAATTATGTCAGCTCCACATGTCGTCCAAGTCGTCGTATCCATCTCGATCTCCTAACAGTGCTTCATTCCTGAA